ATCTGCTCAGGTCCCTTCCGACCCTAGAAACTGTGAAACATGGAAGCTAGATTCTGGCAGGATGCCTTGGAGCACAGGCTCAGGAGAGCAGAGCTGCATGTGTCCAGATGCTTTTCCCAGCATGGGATACACTTCAAGTGCCCATGAGCAATTCCAGCTGCCTCGTGTGCCCTGTCACTGATGAACCAGTCTCAGGACGTGCCAAGCTGGGCCCATCAGGGCCTGCCCCTGGGGAGGCTCTGCAGAAGGAAAGCTGCCCCTATAAATACAATAAATAAATCAGACAATAAATACCTGGCAGCTTCAACCACTTTGGCACTTTCCCAGGGGTCCTTCTCACTGGCTGTGGGGCTACAGAGGTTTCTGCTGGCTCTGGATGCTCTGCAGCCCCTCTCTCATCCGCAGTCTCCTCCGGCCCGGCTGGCAGGGGAGAAGTTGCTACTGAAGCTGATGGTGCAGAAGGAACGAGAGATTTGGACAGACATCTGAGAGGAGAATGGAGTGAGCAGTGCTTAGACAGGGCTTTCAAACCGGTCCCTTCCCATGTGCTCCCAGCCTACAGCTCCTCAGGCCCAGGGCCCCCCCAACAGAAAAAGTCATGTAGCCATCCTGCCAGGCTGCATGAGCCTGAGTGCAGGTAAGAGCTTTGTCCTAGTGCCTGAGGGTTCATCCCTCCCCAACACAGGGTTAATTCCATCCTTCCTCCCCCAAAGACCCCTTCCCTGGGACCTCCCTCACAGTCCCCACCTACCTGGCTACTAACAAGTCAGCTGCAGAAGGGGATACAGCAGATTCGAGCAGGTCTGGTCTCAAGAAATAGTCTGTAAAACAAAACCCCACACAATCCATACATACACCCCCTGCCAGAGGATGGCAACAGTCACCAACATGCAGACACTTGTCCTCAGACTGGCTCCAGACCAGCTAACGTCCCCAGTGCACTTCAGGGAGTCCCTGCCCTCTCCCAGGATTATAACCAATGCTGCTGGCCACCTGGTGACTGTCTCCAAACCAAAGCATGGCTGTTTCTTTGCCACTTCTACCCCAACCCCAGCCCCAGCACCCTGAACTTGGCAGCACTTTGTTCAATGAGGCCCAGCACCTCAGGCTCTCCATTCTGGCACACCGAGAGCATTGCTGTGCACTAGACCTGCTCCTCCTGCCTCACTCATTCCCACAGGAAGCCAGCCAGGCTTGGATCTTCCAGTGCAGATCAGCATCATCTGTCCAGCTTTCTTTTAAAGTGACGAGATTCACAAGCTTCTTTTTGGAGACTATCACGCTAGGTTCTTTCAGCGTTCCTATCTCCATAGCACTCAGTGCCAATGTCAGAGCCTGAGCAGCTTGTAGGAAAGGCTCGTGGTTTATGCTCACACACATGCATTAGTGCACTTCTATTAATTGACAAGCAACCTGAGTGACAGGAGGAGACCAGAGGACATGGGGGAGTTTGGGGTGGGCAATGACAAATCCTTGGCTCAGCTCAGGCTCTCGATGGAGTGACACGATTTACCTGGATGCACAACAGCCTAAGGGGAGAAGGGATCACTCACCTCTGCGCTCCTCAGATCCAAAGTGAACGAGAGCAGCTGGGAAGAGGTTTGCCTGCAGCAAAGGGAAAGATTAGGAGTGCCACCAGAGCCACCGCTGCCCTGATCACGCGTTCAGAGATCACATCTGCAGCTCACACTGACTCGACCGTCTGCCATGACCACTACCCCCTTGTCAGAGCCCCTGTCCTGTACGTCTGGCCTGCTTGCCCTGCTCCTAGATGTCTGACCTTGCACTAGGGCTGTACTGGAACACATCTTGGTTGAATAGGCCCCAGTCACTGCAGGACTGCTGAGCACCCAGCTGCATTAGCCTCTCTCCAGCCTCTCTCTCAGCAGCTATTTTATATTAGCTTCCAAAACCCTGGTAAAAGGATAATGTCTAATATTTGACCCAGAGCCAATCCGTGCAGCACCCTGACTCAATGAGGACTCCCCGCAGTGGCTACTTGGTGCAGTCTGCCAGCCAGGTCTTACCCACATGGTACATGATTTGTGGATATTGTGTAATGAGCACGTCACGCAGCACAAGTCAAATGAGATCTGCAACACATCAACTGTTGTCTTTATCAGCCCCCACAGAGCATCATTACTGTAGAAAGGCAGGCGCTGCCACACAACAGCTGGCCATGGAGTGGGAGGGACAGGGCCTGGCTGCTATCCTGCCCACCTCTGTCCTGAAGCCTCAAGTCACATGCACCACAGGAGATAAAGGGAGGCAGGAAGGGCTTGAAGAGTTATTCAAGCCAAACAGATCCAGCAGTATTTGGAAACTTGATCCTATAGAAGCTCTTAACACAGGGCACACACTACAACAGCGGGGGCGCAAGGCAGAAATCCAGGGAATGGCAATGGATTCTGAAGGGCACGCAGCTAAAGGCACAAAAACAGGAGCAGAAAGCTCTGTGATAAACATCAGATGTCAACACTGCCTCACGAGCTGGTGGCCCCCCAGATCCCCAGCTGTGAGAGGGAGCACAGAAGGAAGATGGGGACGTTGGGCAAGGAGCTAAATGCTTCCTTCACATCAGTCTTCACTACCAAGCACGTGGAAGCAGCATCTACCCTGTACCTGATCTCTTCTGGCAGTCCCTGGAGAACTGGTGCTAGAACATCCGCAAAAACTACTTCACCGTTAGGGCGGCTAGGAGCTGGAACCAACTTCCAAGGGAAGTGGTGCTGGCCCCTACCCTGGGGGTCTTTAAGAAGAGGCTGGATGCCCACCTAGCTGGACTCGTTTGAGTCCCATTTCTCTTTTTGGGGTTTTTGTTGTTCTCCCGCCCTGGCGGGGGGTCGGGCTAGAAGATCTACTAGGTCCCTTCCGACCCTTAATCTATGAATCTATGAATCTAT